GGTGTTGGTATATGTTAGTATCTTAGTAATATACAGGTCAAATAATGTTTTAAAGATGTTGGTATATGTTAGTATCTTAGTAATATACAGGTATATGTTAGTATCTTAGTAATACACAGATATATGTTAGTATCTTAGTAATACACAGGTATATGTTAGTATCTTAGTAATATACAGGTCAAGTAATGTTTTAAAGGTGTTGGTATATGTTAGTATCTTAGTAATATACAGGTCAAATAATGTTTTAAAGGTGTTGGTATATGTTAGTATCTTAGCAATATACAGGTCAAATAATGTTTTAAAGATGTTGGTATATGTTAGTATCTTAGTAATATACAGGTATATGTTAGTATCTTAGTAATATACAGGTATATGTTAGTATCTTAGCAATATACAGGTCAAATAATGTTTTAAAGGTGTTGGTCGAAAAGAAATTTAGCAAATGTAATAATTACAAAAAACAACTTATATTGGAAAAAGACAGATATATATACTAGCTGTAAGGAACTATCATAAAAGTAACCAGAGCTGTCAGAACCGAGGGTGCCTGGGGTGCTGCAGAGCACCTTTCATTTTTACATACTTGACTTATATAGCAACTGTAAATCTGCATGTGTAGCCAAGCACCCTCATTTTCCAACTCCTTTCTACACCACTGGGCCCGGCATGGCCATGTGATTAGGGCGTTTGACTCGCAATCTCCGAGTTGCAGGTTAGAATCCCCGTCCCACCAAACATGCTCGCCCTTTCAGCCGTGAGGGCGTTATAATGTGACGGTTAATCCCACTATTCGTTGGTAAAAGAGTAGCCCAAGAGTTGGCGGTGAGTGGTAATGACTAGCTGCCTTCCCTCTAGTCTTTCACTGCTAAATTAGGGACGCCTAGCGCAGATAGCCCTCTCGGAGCTTTGCGCGAAATTCAAAATAAACAAACCAAACCTACTCCACTGAAAATAGCTATACATTAGTAGAGATATGTGATAGGTAATGAAGTGAAAGGAATCCATGTACAATATAACAAGTGCTGCGACATGACTTAAGTGATCGAAAAAACACACACAAAAAAAAACAACGTTTCTAAGTGAATTTAATATGATTTAATCCCAAATAGGAACTTGGAATTTTGGTTTCACAACCGGAAAATAGCATTTCAACATCTAGTTCACAGACTCGCCCCCGATTATGATTGATCCTGAAAATGCAAGTCTATAATAGGAAACCTTTTAGCTAAAGGGTTTCAATCATCACCGTGATCTACTAACCTGACCCGCTATCCCAATAGCCATAAAACTGTGTCACCCACTTCGTGTCAGCTGGAACCTGTAGTCATCCGTCGGATGTTCTGAAACTTTGCAATTTTAAAACCTGAATTTATTGTTGTATAGACTACTAAAATAAGACCCAAAACTCGAGCG